GTTTTTCTACTTTATCTGTTTTCATGTTTCCTTTGGCAGATATTGCTATTGTGTATTCCATTTGTGTATGCTATTCTATTTATAACACTTTGTGTTTTGTTTTCTTATTATTACATTGTGGAGTATATGGCAGGTATCAAAACTGCTATCGTGAGTTCTATCTATTATATTACTTCAAAATGAGTGATAAAGTGGTTAGTATCAAGATTAATAGCGCACATAGAGCACTCACTTAATAAGCTTAGTCGAGTTAATCTAAGGGTAAGATTGTATTCTTCCGAAGTCAACGAGGCAGGAGTTCCAGCATCGAACACTAGATTAATTGGTCATTACAAGGCACTTGAGACTAGTGAAGGTGCTAAGCTCAAAGAAGAAATATAAGAAGCTAAGATTGGTACTGTGGACAGCAAGGGTTAATTACACCTACGGTAAAGACTGTAGAAATAAGGTTCCAATGAGCGCTATGGGAGAGGATACGTCGAGGTTAAATCTCCAAATCTTTAGAGTTCTGCCTGCAGCAGAGACAGGTATTGCAACAAAATTTTTACATGGAAGTCTAGATGTCAACTTCCTCGAGAATTTGAAAAAGCTTGACTGTTTTTATCTAGTTGTCTCCAAATCGGCCTTTAATTTTCACTCTAAATTTAATTGCAGCATTCAAAAATAATAATAATAAACGAACCTAAAAAAGTGTATTTCAGAGGTAAACAGTGATTTATAGCGAAAGGAATACTATATATAACATTATATTTTAGCAGATACATTTTGACCGCTACTTTTTTAGTACTCTGCTTGTCAGAAATTAGCTTTTTTTTATAAAGTGTGGTCAATGTGGCTCACAGTAACAAGATGATTTTGAAATAAAAAGCAAGCGGGCTGTACATTTGGTACTAACCTTTTCCCCAAAAGAACCTTCGACGACTGTCCACAACGAGTCTTCTACATCTTCAACACTTCTTTTCGCTAGAAGTTGCAAAAAATGTAGATAAGGTAAATTCATTAATCTTTAACTTGTAACTTTTTTCTAAATAATCTGACGAACATCTTGTAACTGTCTAATGTAGCGTTATTGCCGATGGAAGTCCAGTAAGAATTTTATAACTTGCTTTCAAATATTATTTCTGCTTTGCTAATCTGCTGTATCAAAGCACAGTAGTATTAAGGCTGATTAACAGATGGGTTTTCTAAAGTGATTTTGTTCCTTCTTTACAACTTTGTATGTTTCTTCGTTGGCGACTCTGGTCAAGGGTCATCACAAAGTACAAGAAAATTTTTGTCTCGGTAAAAGCAATTACTTGCCGTAACACTGAATTACACTGACAAGGGAATGTAGTCGTTTAATTGACACATAATGTAGAAAACATACTATGTAGGAATGAACATTGAATCGGTCACTATTTTTGAGATTACGCTTGAATTTTTTGCTTGCTTTTCCTAACATTAGAAGTAGACGTGTTTTTCCGGGTATTTGACAATCCAAGATGCAGTACAGCATCGGTTTTTTGAACGACTATTTTACCATCAGTAACTTACTTCTTTCAAATTTAACTTTTAAGTTAGGCAGTTGATCCACTTCTAACACTGCGTACAAAGCCACCTAAAACGGTATCAGTTGTATTAAATATATTATTAACAGGCATCAGCATAGACTGTATTGCAGTGTTAGAAACGCTGGCGGGAGGAAAAATTAAAAATTTTTTTTCAGTGTTGAAATCTTTCTAATTAGAGAACAAGTATGGAAGAGTTTATTTTAGAATTCGAATGCGACACTTTTATAGCTGAGTACAAATAATGTTGATTTCTACAATATGACTATTGACAGTCTTTTATCTAATTCATGTTTCGAGAATATGTACAGAATATGTACAAGAAGAAATAATGCTCTCATAAAATCAACCTTTTGAAGGTAAGTGAAGAAAAGTTATATTTTTGACAATTTCTGATTTTTATCACAAGCAAATGACTGCTGATACGGTCACGAAATTGTTGTACAGTAATAAGTTTTTTGGCATTTCTAACGTAACTTTGCAATGAACAACGAAGCAGTAAAAGTATGTAGGGAAACCCCAAAAGAAAATCTTTGAGCTTTTGAAAACCGTTGAATGATTCTTTTTTTTTTGCATTATATACGAGATAATTTTTAAGTCTGGTTTACTTAGTTCAGTTTCATTACAGATAAACTGTGTTTGGCTAAAAAGTCTAAAATCATGTAAGGATGTTTCAGTTATGACAAAGTGTAATATCAACAGGAAATACCTCCAACAAGTTTTCCTGCATACTTAAATGATGTCAAACGAGTGCACTTTTTCTGTGATAAAATGAAGCTTTTCTTTCGGTATTAAACAATAGGTCTTTCGCACAGAACAAAACCTTATCAAATATCCCACTCAATTTTGTCCTTAATTTCAAATTTTCTTTTCAAGAAGCTAAAATTTAGCAGAACGATTAAAATCTGTTTCAAGTGCGCAAATGAAGTCCAGGTACCTCGTTAACAACCACAGTGCTTCAAATTCCATAACTAGCTTCTTAATTTCTGAGTCTTCAAAAGTTAGGTACCACAGATTAGAAACCAAAGTTTAAAAAATTTTGCAGGCTTTCTTTGCTGGAAAGGTAACATGCTTATTGCTGAAGAAAGCTCTTGAGCAGCAATCAAATAAAATGGAAGAAATACATGTTGTTGTAACTCGCTTAGAAAGAAGCATACAGAAACGTAATTTAAAAAGTTTTGGAAGCTTTTTCTGTGAGCAGTGTGACGGTAGCAGAGGATTTACCTTTACATAAAAAAACAGAAAGAGACTGGGTTGCAGTAAATGAAGAAATAAAAAACGCCAAGAAACTGCAAAAACTTGTTGGAAGGTTGTTAAGATGAGCTTATTTAAGGTTAATTGAAAGCAGGCAAAAGTTAATTAAAAAAAAGATGTGTCTGTGTCTGACAGTGTTAAGTGAATGAAAGTTTTTAGTTATTGTAAGAATAAAGGTAATTTGTTTGTTTAAAGAAATCAAGTTAGAACTAAAAAAATAAAATTTTTTTTAACTTGTTTTATCTTATTTCCACCTCTCCTATTCTCGCATGTGAATTACCGTTCAAAAGCACCGATCTTTTTTGTTCCTGAAACGCCTTGAGCAAGCCAATTTTTTTGTACAAAGTGCGAGGTGAAATCTTTTAGGAGAGGAAAAAGGGAAACCAATTTTCACCGGAGATCACTGAATGTATCATAGATCTCAAAAGCCTTGAGCATTCTATTTCAAATTGTCATACAGATGCACTGGAAATGAAATAAAGCAACGTTTTGAACTGGAGATTAGAACGACGAATTTTTTAGTTATAATTGATTTTGAGAATCGATTAAACGTTCAAACATACAGTTTTGAGAAGAATGTTGAAACATAAGCGCCGCATAACATTAACAATAAACAAAAATTAACAGAAAATTTGAGACGAAATTTAGGGGAAACAGTTCACTCCATTTTCATTGAGCTTTTTTGAGGCTAATTTTCACGACCTTTTTGCAGCTGACAACTACATTTGTTATTGCGAAATGACAAGTTACTGTCAATGGTACTAGTAATTTCTACTTTAAAAAACCTGCAGTTGACACTATGAGAAAAAATAAAGATTTTTAGACTAGTGGATCTTTATGTTGGTTAGAATTTCCTACTTAATTACAAATATCACAACAGGGCTTTCTTCTCACATGTTCAGTCATTTGGATTGGAGGTATCATTGTCCCGACAAAATTCTTTTAAGGTTTCATCGCCAATTTATCGCCTAACAAAAGTGCCAAATAAGCAAAAAAGGAAGCTAATTGTTTCGCTTTTATTCTTCTTTTGTACCAGTCAAAAAACAGCGCGCAATAAATCAGCAAAATTGTACGAAGAGGAATTGGGCCGGAAAGACGTTTCTTGATTAGAAAATTGTAGCACAAGATAAAAAGAAGTCAAAGGTAAATTTTGTACTGTTATCGACAAGAAAGCAAAAAAGGTGGGAGATAGCTTGAATGAGTTTGGGACAAACTTTAGAAGCTGGAAATATTAAGAA